AAGGGGAAAGAAAGGTGTTAAAGACAATTTTTTTATCCTGAAACTCGAGCTATTGCAAAGCTTCAGAGGCATGGTCGAGAAACTGGGCATGTTGATGCAGTTTTCAGCTGATATGACAGAGCGCTTACTCATTACACACTGCAAACATCTCTTTGAGTGCACAAACCGACGATCTGCTGATTTTATGGAGCAGTGCATAAGGATCCTCAACCACCAGGAGTCAATGGAATTATTCAACCTGTATGCATTATTCTATTCTCATGGTGCGTCACTTGTCAATGCCATACACATCGAAGATGAAGAAGTGACAACTGTTAATCTGGCGCTTTCCTGGATTTCTTGTGTTTTCCCTGATGAAATGCATTCTGTTCATGGACCTCAGCCAGTTCAGAATCATTTTCTTAAGGGCATTCTTTCTGGAGATGCTCTCACTGCCTTCCATCTGACCTTGATGCCAGATTTTAATGCTCTGACTCCCATCGCCATTGAAACCAAATACTCACTTGTTGATTTCAATCATGCGCTCTCTCAGTTTATCAATCAGTTATCCCTTTGCACTGGCGAGCATACCCGCTGGGACCATAAATACGGACACTTTTTCACATGGAATAAATTTTGACTACAGCTTCACTCTGCTTTCCAGCCACAAGTCATCATGCCAAGCAGAGTGATACAAGCATACCTGCCGAGTGATGCATTCCCCCTCAGAAACTGTGATACTGTCCTAATCAATGTCATGGGTAATGACGGCCAAAGCAGTGAGTCTATTCTTGCACTCGTGTTCCAGATTTAATTCGAGATTATTTTCAGCCAGTCATGTTGCACAAGTTCGACTTATCTTTCAGCCAAAGATTCCATGGGCTTCTGACTTGGTGTTGCCAATGTTCCTCTCAAGTCCACTCCTCTATGTCCAATTCTTCCACTTCATCACTAATCCCAGTGACCATCCTGAACTTGCGATGTGGACAGTAGAGCGCACATACATGACAAACTAATGTGGCAGACATCGTAGGTGTGGTGGTGTCGTGTCGTTATGTAACACATGCCATTGAATTGATACCAGAATATGGTAACAAGGTAGACATGAGGATTTCTTCAGCCACTTGTTTGGAGAGCTATGACCGGTTTTTTCTCAACAGTTTTGCAGATACATCAGGAAAAACCTCTTTTTAAAATTAGGGACAATTCGAGCAAATTCAGTCGAACGTAGAAAAACAAACCACATTTTCTCAAATGCGTGCATAAAAGATCAGATATTCAACAATATCAGCCAATGCGCAGACTCCCAAAATGAAATCAGACCAAGTTGAAAAATTTTAGACACAGGATACTACTACACGATCACACTAAACTATGCAATTCGTGAGCAGCAAGTTGCAGCTCTAACATATGTGCCTTCCTTGCCTCCTCGCACCGTTTGATTTCCACATCCCAATGATCCGCAATGAGTCGATACATGTAATTCTGCGAGACGGTTACAGGAGCAGGAGTCTGACGGTAGGGTGGGACAGGAGTCTCAGGTATTTCTGGTCCCACAGGGGTTGAAAAAATACCCAATTCTGGCACAGCAACCCTGTGTATCAATGGTTTCCAAGCCCTAATCAATCAATCCATCAATCAGAATCTCCTCCCAGACTCTGACATAATTCATAAACTTACTTTTTGACCATGGCTGGGGACTTTCTGACAGGTGATCCCCAGTAAGAACTGGTTGTGCTCGAAACAGTCAGGATATGCTGAGGACTGAATTTCCGTTTTCGTCCTGTGGCTATTTGTGCTGGTTTGTGCTGGTTTGTAATTTTCATATCACTTTGCATCAATATACATTGCATTGTATACACCAGTATACACCATTGCATACATTGCAATCACATACGTCGCATCGCACATACAGTGCAAACTCCGTATTGCAAAGTACAAACTCCGCATCGCAAACACAAACTTTGCATCACTAATAATTAAGTACTTGCAATCTTTGCCTCACGAAGCCCATTACATCATTAATATTGCAAACTACGATTCCCCAAAGAATAAATTGTTGGGGCTAAATTTCTGTTGCCCCACAATTTCTTCCTCCCCACTTTTCTTCCTCCCACCCACCTCTGCCAAGTCTAAGTCTGAGTCAAAAGTCCTGCTGTTTTCCTCCACTGACCACACAAGTTAGAGCAGCAGGATGATTGTTATGTTTAGTCCTATATCACAGGGATCTATTGTATTGGGACAGCTGTGATGCTGTGGTATGTCATCATATTATTTTCATGCGCATATATTCCTGAAATAAGATGAGAATGATGGGACTTGTAGGACATTGTTTTCAACAGAACCTAGCCTCAGATCAGTGCGAGAAGATGATGCTGGTCCCCATGCACTGACTTATTGATGACTTGTCCACACTGGAACCATGAAACCAAGGCTACTCTATGGTGCATGACTTTTTTTATTTGTTGATGCTGTCTTACGCGTCTGCTCGCAACAGGTTGCCAGTGAGTCTTGGACATCCAGGACCTCAGGGGCAAAGCAGTTTGTGACAGTCCAATGCTACTAGGGGATCTCACTGTGGACCGGCGCAAGGTAAGTCATTATGTTGTCGTTCTATACATGCTATATTCACGGTCAATGTCAGGAATACAATAACAAGGCAGCAGAACTAGTGAGCAGTCCATGTTGCTACGGGTTACTATTCTGAGAGGGCTACTACAGGTTGCCGACAATGCTTCAACCAAGGGTGTTTGCAAAGGCCTGTTGCACTAGTTCTCTTGAGCTGTCTCAGGCCGTCTTCCATCTTACCCACCGCCTTCCAGACACTTTTAACACTGTTTCGATCCCCACCTCATACACTTTCGATGCTGCATTCAACACGTTTTCCCAGTTTTATTCCATATTTTCGTCGCTTTCTGTAGTATTTTAGAGCTGTGCTAGTGCGACAGGTGTGTTTTATATCCCAGCATAATCACACAACATCTGAGCATAATCATATTATAGCATGTATGAGCACATTCACCCAGGGAATCAAAAGCACACTCTAATATGCACCAGTGTGATTTTCATATGTTCTGCGAAGAAAAACATAAGGCAGCATCAGAGGCTTTGCCCGTCTTATGTATTGTCAATATGCTAAATCAACCGTTTTATATCCAATATGTGCTAATCTATACATTTTTCCTCAGCCACTACGATAAGCATATTATGGCACACCCCGGCTGTTTCAAGCACAGCCAGTTCTTACTGGGTGTTACGACTAGGATAAGTCTTCTCAACACTGGTCCGAATGGACTGACACGCGAAGCATGTCGAGGGTATCTTACAGGCTAGTGGAATGCTAGCAGGTCTCTCCGTCTATGTCGGTAAGGGTGGCGCCTCGTTGAGATGAAGGTCTAGTGAGAATACGGCTAAGGTGCAGGGAGCGACTTAGAAGTGCAGCGAGGTGTTCAAGGAAGCAAGTGGATTAGACAAGCTAAAGACCAAGTTCTGGGGATCTACCTAGTAGATTAAAGTAAAGAACTAGTACAGTAATTTATCTACTTATATATGCCAATATATAAGGGTTCAAGCTCAGTCTGTATCTAATAGTATATCTATGAATCTATGGCATCATGAGATAAGAGTGCATGAGGTCAACCATGAGGATAGATAAGATACATGAGGCTTAACCTCTGATCAAGCGTGAGGCGCCAAGTGTTGCTGCGCATCTACATGAGGTGGCATGAGGCATACATGCGCCGGTCTAGGTGTCCATGAGGCACACAGCCTCCATGGATCAGGCACAAGGCCTTCTAGGCTAGGGGCGGTGTCACAGCGGTCCAGACTGCTGTCGTTCTAAGTTCTGGCGGCGTGCCGCTGTGTCGGGAGTCTAGCAGAGCGGAGGCTCTTGTAGATGTTGCAGATGACTATAACACTGGGGGTGATCTCCCATCTGCAGAGTCCAGTGAAGGTGAGCATGGACTATAGATTCCAATCAGCTCAGAGAAGCCATTGGCTTATGGCACAACTGAAAAACTGACCGCTTTCCAGCAATCCAATTCTCTTTCTCGGCAATGGAGTCCTGTAACATAGTGAGTCTGATTTTCTGTAGCATATAAATAGAGCCTTCGCACCATTAACATAATTGATTAGTACACTGGCACACAGAAGCACAAGACAACAGTCAGCGATTGAAGTGATGTCAAGGAAATTTCACAGATCAATGTTACACCGAACCGTGAGAATTGAGCTGTCAAGAGGCGCACTCGTCATTCAACATTCAATAACGGATGCTTCGAAACACATGTTCGGCAGCTGCCTGTTCACCCTGTGTACCATCCACCACCTTCCTTGTTACGCTGACCAAGAATCTTTTCAAGACTAACACTCAACCTCACAGCTGTCCCCAACTCTTGCACCATTAAGAGTGTTTAACACTGTCGCTTCAATGCTTGCAGATGTACGGGCGTCTATCTTAATTTAATTTCAACTCATCATTGAAGCTTCGAAGCTGCACCATTTAACTACAATATAGTCACATACACATGTCTGTCAGTAAAGTTGTTAACAAAGAATATACTACACTGATCCAATACATTGCTCATAGTCCAGTCATGCAGGGCCGCCGCACCAAACTTAGGAATTAAGTGCACCAAGTGGCAAATATTACGCACAGGAATAATGCTTGCTTGCCTCTCACCATCCTGAAGTGCGCGCGAGATGCTATACATCCCATGATTAATGTTTGGGGTGGCAGGGAAGGGTGTGAACCACTCGATGTATGCAAGGTGATCAGGGACATTAACCTTGTGAAATAGAGCCCGCTTGACATTGGCCAACAGTGCGAATATGAAACGAACTTGCGCAACACGATATCCTGTTAGTATTCAATTAGCATCAGTGTCTCACATACATAGATCAGGATGTTCACCTTCCACGCCCGTTTTGTTGCCATTGCCCAGATTAATAAGTGCCGTATCAAACCTTGCAGGCACTCTCCTGTCATGGCCATCGTGTCGCACAGGCCATGTGTGTATTGTGTCGACAGTATCATTATTTACCATGCTACCATCATCATGAACAGCACCATAATGGACTTTGTGGAAGACTGATACTGACTGGAACAGAAGGGTGATGTCGCAGGCCGCATCTTCAGACTGCCTTGCAGTCAAATTGGGGTGCATGACTTGGACTATGAAACACGCCACTGCGGCCTGAAAGTGTCATGTACCATAATGTTCAGCTAGTGATGCCAATGGCACTCGTTTGATGGACGGATGCTTTGCCACCTTCAGTTGTTGGGAATATATGATGTCAGAGTGGTGTAGGGGATGATGTGATTGGGAGTTCAGCTGGAGTCTGAGTTGCCATTGAATGAATTTATCATGCCACATGATTTTCTCTCATCGTTCAAGCCACAGAGTCATTTGCATGTATTCGTCCTTATGATTAGTCGCATGATATGCATCCTTCGCCAGGTCAATGTGCAGTCATTTGGTATATTCAGTGTTATAATTGTTCGTTGTTCCAAACAGACAAATCATTGAGACATAGTGCTGGAATGAATGGAGTTTTGGGAGGTTAAATGATGCACGGATACCTAAATTGACGAAGATAGCTTTATTGTCGTGAAATCAATCGAGCGCATCATGGAGGAGCTCTAAAGATGAATCAGAGTGACATGGGTATTGAGCGAGATACAAAAAGTCGAGTATCCCGAGTACAGCATGGACAAGTCTAACTGTGGAAGTGTTGTCAGGCAAACAGATGTCAAGGATGATGCCAAGTAGAAATTGGCATATTTGCTGGTGTTCCGTTCCACTGACTCATGACAGCACTGAGATGCCTTTCATGAAGAGGTGGATGTTGTGGTTTGGAGGGAGCCATTTGCAGCGCGCATCTATTTCTGCCTCGCCGCAAGCTGATTTAATCCAGGCAATGAGATGCTTGACCGGGCCTTGGTACAATTGGTGGAGGACATCTGGCGTGATCGTGTGATAGATATTGCAGTGCGGGAGTTCCTCCCAGAAAGGATGATACAGAGGTTTCATGCCTGCCAGTGATAAGAGGCAAGTCATGACCAGGTCAGCACGATTGAGCTAGAAACAACACATACCTGCATCACGACAAGCTCTCCCAAACTGAGTCGGATGTTCATCAGCCAATGCCAGTGCATCCAAAATCTCATCCAAGTCCCGCAGCTCGAATGGATGATCTTTGCTACCAAGCTCCATCGAAGGTATGTCACATTTTGGACACTCTCCAGTCTTCATGCCGGTCACCAGCAGTTGCTCTGGGTAATCTCCAATGTAGCATGCCACCAGAGGATGACCACGCCGAACAATCCCATCGCCAGTAGCTATCAGCATCCCGTACTTACCCGGCTCCAATCATCTTCCTGCTCTGCCACCCAACCATTGTTGTCGACTTCCTCATCGTTCTCCTCCTTGTTATCACCTTCCTCGTCATTCTCCTCTTTGATATCCCCATCCTGTTCTGGTGAGTCACTCGCCACACAGGTATGCATTTCTTCATAGATATTGACACAGGATGGATTCGTAGTTTGTGCGAGGTGATGGGAGTAACCACTCTCAGTGAACACTGAGCAGCAGCCCTCACAGATTGGCATGATTGAACGGTGAGCCCAGATTAATAACTACAGAACTTTTGGGCTGACAGGCATCAGGTTGACAGGTATCAGGATATAACGGAATGAGCGGTGTAGCACTCAAGCTCGCGCTGAGCACGTATTCTCTTATTTCTCAATACATATCCAATGCCCATTGCGCACTAATCACAACCCGATGCTAACCTGCTCAACCTGATGCTTTGACTAGTGGACCCGATGTTTCAGCCGCATCGGACCCGATATTTTCCCGCACTCTTGTCCTATCTGTGTCCCGTCTTGTCTTGCTAGCCCCACTAAGTGCGTAGTTGATTATTTCGCACATTACTCACGTCGTAGCCAGTGCTATTACATGTTTTCCCATCATCCGCAGCACCTCGTGTTTATTTACATGTACTTTGGACCCGAAATCATCGGCCACTACCTTCGCCTATGGCCTTCCGGATTTCTATGTACTTACATATATATTGGACTGACTACGAGTATTTTCATTATCCAAGTAGTAGGGAGCCGTTTCCCGATACTTGGTGGTCAAACCCGATATTTCATAGTTCTTAGTTGACATTGCGAATATTACTGCTCTTTCTATCCAAAATACCTGTCATTATCATATATCCACATACCACTCGCTTTCCCGACATTCGCTATCGCTAAACCCAAACCTGAAACCCGCTAACCCGAAACCTGAAAACATTGGACCCGACACTTTGGCGTCAGACATCATAGATATACCCTCGGACTTTGTTCCTCGTGCTCGGACTTTTGACCATTTATCATTTCACTAACTACAGACCATTCCAAATAGCTAACCCCTCGGGTCGAACGCACTTGTCTTGCAAGTATAGCAGACTAGGCTGTGCACGACCACAACATTTTTATATTGCTGGCTACTTACTTTGTGTAGTGCCCAGCAATTGTTGTATCTCTACAGCGGGATTTGTAAGTGATTTTTTTCACCTATCTCTTTCCATCTTGTTTGAGTCTCTCACTTTCATGGCATTTGTTTAGGCAACATGTCTCAGGTGCCACTCACTCCCACCAAGAAGGCTGCCATCATGCGAGCAGCCAAGCTGAAGTCTAAGAATCAGCCGCCTGTCCATCAGGCTTTTGACCCAAATATGGCAAAGATTTGGCTAGCTTTATCTAATGAAAAATATTAAAAATATGTATCACAATTACAAATGATATGTTAAAGGAATAGAAAGTCAGACTACATTGGTGGAATCTCCCACAGCTATAATATTGGCAGACCTATCATATCATGTTGCAATCTACTATCACAGTGCTGTGTTATTGTCCAATGAATCTATCTATGTCTAGCTTTATATAGGCAGCCTCTCATGGTAGAAACTGCAATTGGCAACTACATGGTGCAGGGCAATATTGTATTATCATATCTACCAAATAAGTCTGGCTTTGTATAGACAGCCTCTGATGGCGGAGGCTGCAATGAGAAACTATGTGCTGCAGGATGATATTATATTATCATATCCACCAAACTACTGTGGAGTGATATTGACTCATCATGTCCATAAAACATGTCTGACTTTATATAGGCAGCCTCTGATGGCAGAAGCTGCAATTCACAACTGTGTGCTGCAGGGTAAATTGCCTTATCATGTTCACCAAATTGTTCTTATTTTGATCAAGTCTCCAATCAATATCAATTATTCGGGGTGTAACATTGGGTTGTCACAATGCTAAATTTTGATGCTTCATTATCTCAGCCATAGCCTTCAACATAGGGGATCATTGTGCAATATATTTTGTGCTGTATAAATCATGGATGGAGCTTTCATCAATTGCATTAGGGGTCACAGGCTTTACAATAGTGTATTATGAAAAATAACTAAAGACAATGGACTAATTGATGCCAGCACTGGCAGTGGCTTGTAGGGCAGCACATTTTTCCCGAATCTTTGACAGTGCACTGTTTTTGCTGACATTGCGCTGTGCAGATGAAGAATTAGGAAAAACCCGACTGGAAGGTGTTAACTTAGATATTAAGGCGAGGAAATCATTACGAACTGCGTCCACCACGTCATCAGCTTGACTACTTCCTCACTTTCATCAGGATCTTCCAATAGGTCAAGGATGCTATGATAGAAATTTTCTGAGTCCGTCACCATATCGGTACGGGAAAATACGGATGACGAGCTTAATGAAAACTGAACCTGCCAGGGAAGGAAAAATAGTAAAGAGGGATGATTTATTAAATTTCCTGCACACCTGTGTGGCAATATAGGCCAGAGATCCTTTAGTCACAGACTTCATACCGTGCAGGTAAGCATTACTGGAGCACGTAGCTTTAGGATCCTTATCTACCGAACTCGGAGACATGAAGACATGTTTGAAGCCCTATCAAAAAAATCACTTTGATGGAGAATGTACCGCCAATAGAGTGAACTTACAAAGACTAGTATTTCACTCCTCAGTAAACCCTTCCAGGGATCTTCTGTTACGACTGGGATAAGTCGAGCTGTCTAAGTCCGAATGGACGATCTGCTATAAGCAAGACAGACGTGGTTTCTTCTCTCTACAGAAAGGTCAGAAGGTTTCTGGCTAAGGCAAGTGTAGGCGACTCCCTTAGAATAGTGTTTCTTAGATAGCAAGGTTGGAGACCTTGCTAAAGGACGAGTTCCAGGTAAAACCCAGTAGATTAAAGTGAGGAATACAATCGGTAACTACTGTGCTTAAATAGACCATATGGAGCGCACAGACCAGGCTAAGAAAGGAAGGCATAGGATGCGCTATCAATGATAGAAGTACAAGAAGATAGTAGGGTCCGAAGATAAGGGCTATGCATGGGGACAATATCGGTTGCTAACACGATAAGTGGATTTAGTGATGACATGACAAATGTACTGGAACGTGATGACCCTCTTTGTGGTCTTAACCTTCATAGTCCATAGTCCGGTTCTATAGTCAAAAGTGGAGGTGTGAGTTGACCGTAACATTACCCCCCGGTTAGCGTCAAAGTCACCGACTTTGTCTTCAGTTATCCTGGTTCTCATAGTAGATGGTGTCGGTGTCGGCATTGTGGAATTCTAGTTCCTCAGGTTGCACCAGGTACTCTCTCTGGGCACGCGCGAGTTCTTCCTCCTGCTCCCTATCCTTCTGGGCTTCCCACTTGGCTAAAGCTTCGTAGAAGCCTTCGTCGGTATATACCAACAGGAACTCTGGTTTGAGCGTTGCATAAGGGCAGTAGATAGAGAAGTGCCCAGGCTTCTGGTCACCGCAGACGTGGCAGTGGTACAATGCACAGTTTCTGTGCTTGTGGCCAAGCTTCTTACAGAGCTGGCAAATGAAGTTGGCATCAGTTATGGTGCCAACAGTTTGGTTAAGTAAGGGGGATTTGACAGTAATGGTGGAGGCAGATGCATCCGTGGTGAGGTCAATGACCTCACACTTCTTTCCTTTGGATGATTTGGCTTTTGTTACGCCATGAACGATGGCTCCCTTATGGAGTCTCCTCTTGTAGACTTCATTTGGGGTCGGGACAGGTAGAGGTTGAGGGTTCTCTCCAACCGAAGCTGGATCAGGTAGAACAGCGGGGGGAGTGCTAGCAATAGGAGGCAGCGGGCAGCCGACTTGGAAGGCATTTCGATCAGCAACAATCTGTATAATTTCCTTGCAGATAGTACTGAAATCAGTAGGAAAGAGCTGAAGCATAAGCGAGCATATATGCCACTGGATATGGTTTCAGGATAGCCTAAGGGCATCATTTTCTATTAAGGCGAGATCTTCTTCTAGGCGCTGAGTAGCTCTGATGATGTGGATGTAGGTGGCACTGACGCCTGCCGAGGCTGCTGGTTGACTGGCAAGATACTTCTCGATCTCAAGGGCGTGGGTGATGGAAAGGACGGTGGTTTCGATGACAACGTCATCTTCAATGCTCATAATGTTTTCGTCAAAGGGGGATTCGCTGAGGGAGAGGGAGGAGACGTTGGATTCAGTAGGGGAAGGTGTTACAGGGATCTGTAACACCTACTAGAGCCCCAGCTCTCCCTACGCCTGCCCCCGCTCTGCTAGATTCCCCGCGCGGCGGTGCGCCACCTGCGCCTAGAAAGACAGCGGTTTGGACCGCTATGACCCCGCCCCATGGCGCTATGACCCCGCCTGGCGCTATGACCCCGCCCCTGGCCTAGACGGCCTTGTACCTGATCCATGGAGGCAGTACGCCTCATGGACACCCTAGATCAGCGCATGCATACAGCATGTCGCTTCATGAAGATCCGGAGCGCGCTTGGCGCTTCCTGTACCTATGTGCAGCTGCCCTTGGCGCAGCATGCTTGATCAGAGGTTAAGCCTCATGTATCTTATCTGAACCTCATGTCTGGCTATCATAGATTTACGATATACTATTGATTACAGACTGAGCTAGAATACTTGTAGTACTTCCCTATAAGTAGACACAGATTATTGTACTTAGACTTTACTTTAATCTACTAGGTTCATCCCCAGAACTTGCTCATCTAAGCCTACCAGCTTCCTTGTGTGAGACCGCACTTCTAAGTCGCCCCGATACGACTTAGCACGTATCCGCTAGCCCTGCATCTCGACGAGCGCCGTCTTACCGAGATCGCCGGAGGAATCCTTGACATTCCATCAAGGCCAGACCACGCTCAGCTTCAGTAGACTCACTCGAGTCTTCGCTGAGAAGACCTATCCTAGTTCGCACACGCCGACCGACGGTCAGCGTAACAGAAGGGGTCTGAGGAGCAGGCATGTTCTGGTTTTGTTGGATGGGTTTGTTCGAAGGGGACTGAGGGTTTTTTAGTTCAACTCGTGCTGCTTCTTATAGACCTTTAGCAGGTCTTTGGAGTTTTCCAGATTCTCCGCAGGAATCCATTCGTTGCTTCCAGAAGAATATCCTTTCCAGGATACGAGATAGCGTCTTTGTTTACCCATACCCTTGTGACTCAAGATGGCTTCCACTTCGTATTCTTCTTCTTGATTGACTATATCAGGAGGTGGTTCTTGGAAGTTCGGTCCGTGGATTTCCATTTCATGATAGGACAATAGTTCGGAAGCATGGAACGTGGGGTGGACCTTCCATTGTTCTGGGAGTTTTAGGGTGAAGGTGATAGGAGATAGGACCACAGTTATGGGGAATGGCCCGTGCCGTTTGGGTGCAAGTTTCCTAGATGGGAGTGTGGTCATAAGATTAGCTGCGGATAGCCAGACCTTATCTCCTATCTTCCAAGGTTGATACTTCTTCTTGTGCAATCTTTCTGCCATTCATTGCATAGCAATGTTGTGGCAGGAAATGGCTTCTTCCCTAATCTTCTGGAGGATGCGGACCCTTTCTTCTGTGGCGGGAGTATCAGAGGACGGTAGGACGTGGGGAATTCCACGGGGTTCATACCTCATCATAAGGAAGAAAGGGGAAGCATTCCTTGCCTCATGTTTATGGTGATTGTGTACAAATTTGGCAAGAGGGAGATGGTTGGACCATTCGTGGGGATTAGTCCTGCAATAGATTCGTAAATAGGTTTCTATTTCCTAGTTGAGCCATTCAGTCTGTCCATCGGTCTGCAGATGATAGGCAGTTGAGGCAGCGACTTGGTATCCAAGAAGACGAGCTAGTTCTCTGAGAACTTTGAGATGAATTGGGGGCCATGGTCAGAAATCACTTTTTCATGGAGTCCAAAGTGTTTAAAAACATTTTTGAGAAACAGCTTGGCCACTCCTTCTGAGGAGATGTTCTTGTTACAGGGGGAAATAATCACCCCCTTCGTAAGACCATGGTCTACCACGACCATGATGGAGTCAAAGCCGCTAGAAATGGGCAGGTCAGTGACAAGGTCAACTGAGACCTGAGAAAACGGGCGAGTTGCGGAGGAGGGAATCGGGATGAGAGGGGGGGTAGTAGGGTGGGTGTCAACCTTCATTTGTTGACACAGAGCGCACCCAGCTACATAGGAGCGGATGAAGGTGCCCATGGCGGGCCACCAGTAATCCTGCTTGATGAGTTCCTCGGTCTTGAACCGGCCAGGATGGCCAGCAGTAGGATGGTCATGGTGCCGCGCCAGAATGGCAGACCGCTGTGAGGGTGGAATGTAGGTGCGGGATTTAGAGTATAGTACCCCATCCATGATGTTCCAGTCAGAGAGCGCCGACTTCATTGGAGGCAAGCAGATGTCATCGAGGGCATCACTAGCGACGGAGAAAACAGGATCATCCAAAGAGTTTTGGGCAAGGGCGGTAGCAAGCTCATCACCGAGCAGTCATACAAACATGGAATCGGGCAACAGCATGCAATCCTCATTGTCATGTTCGCCGAGGCCATGATCAGGGTGTCGAGAGAGGGCATCAGGAGCGGCAAGCTTCATTCCAGGGACATGATGCAATTCGAGGTCAAAGTTGGACAGAGTGAGCTGCCAATGCGCCTGTCTACAGGAAAGCTTCTGTGCTTTCGAGAAGTAGAGAAGGTTCAAGTGATCAGTGAATACGAGGACAGGGTGAGGGTTTTCTTCCAGATAATGACGCCATTCGTTGAGGGCGCGGATAATAGCGAGTAGTTTGCGATCGAAGATTTCGTAGTTTCGTTCAGCTGAATTCAGGGATTGAGAGAGGTATTCACAGGGGTGGTAGACTCCATTCTCATCAGTTTGCTAGAGCACAGCCCCAGTTGCTACTAGGGAGGTGTCGGTTATGAGGGCGAACTGCCGTGTAGGGTCAGGGTTACGTAGCACTGGTTTCGACGTAAAGTGTTGTTTAAGACTGTCAAAGGATTTCTGGCATGCGGGGGACCATACAAAACTGCGATCCTTTTTTGTAAGGTCAATTAGTGGTCAGGCAATGTTGGAGTAGTGATACACAAATGCCCTGTAAAAGTTGCAAAACCCCAGGAAGGAGCGAGTTTCTTTTACAGAGGTCGGGACCAGCCAATCCTTTATCCCATCAACTTTGGCATGCTCCATACCTACTTCTCCTGGTCGAATGACCATTCCAAGGTATTCCACTTCTTTTGCATCAAAGGTGCATTTCTCTGGTTTCACGAATAACTGTTCTTGGTGAAGAATGTCCAATATCCGTCTGGTCTGATCATGATGTTCTGCAAGATTGGAGGAGAAGATGAGCAAGTCATCCATGTATATGACAAGCCATCCTTCGTTTATTTCAGATTGGAATCGATCGTTCATATAGGACTGGAAGGTGGCGGGAGAGTTTGTTAATCCAAAGAACATTACCGTAGGTTCGAACAGTCCTTCTTTGGTAGTGAAAGTGGCTTTCCATCTATCATCGGGGTGGATCCGGATATTATTATAGCCGGAGCGTACATCGATCTTAGTGAAATGCTGCGCTTTGTAGAGCTGTTCAATAAGGGATTTTGGGAGAGGGAGTGGATACTGATTGCATATGGTCCAGTCATTTAGGTAGCAATAGTCTTGGCAGGGGCGCAATTCTCCACTCTTCTTTCCTACAAAGAAAAATCCACTAGCTTGCGGGG